TTGGGTCGGCTCGTATTAGTATGTTTGGGCAGTGGGCGCTCGCACCTTGATGTACCGCGGCCTGGCCCGGAGCTGGACTCTCCTCAGCCAGGTCGTAAGATTATAGATTTGGGATTATGAAGAGTTGATTGGCAGATATTACACATGTTGCTGGCCGATTCTTTACAAAATTGACTTATCATGCTGCCGCGTCTCTTCATTGTGTCTCAATATCAAATTAAAGGGTTATGTGGTGTTTGATGTTTTGTGGCACAGTATTCAATATAACTTGGTCCTTTGAGCCCCATCACTTTTATTTAATGCAGTTAGTAAGACCAGGTATAGAATAGGACCATTTTGCTCAATCTTATCCATGCCATCTGGGATTACTAATGTCACATTCCGTTTGTCTGTTCTGTTCCCTCCAATAAATCAGTTAATAAGATCTTATCTTGTTAATGGAATTTTGTGGAAATTAATTGAACCTCTTTGGCTATTGAATGTCTAGTCTAGATATAATTGACAATAGTAGTTATTATTGGTGTTTGTGGTTTTATTTATGCTAGATCTGCCTTTATTTAATAGGGACGAATAGCTTTATGATTAGCAGAATTCAACCATTTGGGTCTCTCTGTGTATTTGTGATTAGTTCTGATCGTGTCATAGTTTGCGATTATTGTAAGTGACTAGGTAATTGTTCTTATGTCTTTGTTAAGCAGTTGATTGATAGGTATTTTTAACCGACTTCAAAAAAAGGAGGAGGTTCTCAATTCGATTGTATTTTTTTTTTTTTTTTTTTTTATTTTATTTTTTTATGTTTGTTACCTCAGAACTCCGTCGTTTATGGACGGATTTGCAAAATTTTTTTTATGATTGAAAGGATATGCTTCCAGATTGGTCCCATTCTTTTCAAAATCGAGTTTTGATGATGGGATCCATGAGAAATCGAGGGAACTCCTCAAATATTATAGGCAACTATATAGTAATTTTAATATTTTCATAGAGCACTCAAGCATTTACAGTCAAAAAGTAATATTTGATGAGGTGGAACTGGTGAAGAAGATCAGAAATGGGTGATGAAACTTGACACTCGCATAGATATCACAATCAAGGTAGTTCAGCAACTATGAAAATGCACTGTAAACCAATGATCTTAAATAATTATGTTGGAAATGTTATCATCGAACTGATTTAATGATGATTATGGAGCTGGAAGGTAGGCACTGGAACTGCGTACCTAATTAATATATCCTAGCCGTGTTTGGGCTTGTTAGAATTGTTATAAGATGCACTTTGGCTGTAAGGTACTATTGAACTGATGTGATGATGAAGCTGGAAGGTTGGCATGGGGCCTAGTATTGTGTAAGCTTATTAGAGCTGTCAAGAGCAATGGAAAGGGCTATGCTCATAGTTTCCGTGCATGTTCGAATCAGAAATGAAGAAATCCGCAGAAGAACCAGCGTCACCGACATAGCCCGAAGAAATGCCAAACTTAAGTGACAGTGGGCACGGGACATTGCTCGTAGAACAGATGGCCGATGGGGCCGAAAGGTTCTAGAGCGGGACCGCACACCTTTGGGGGCGGAGTTTGGCCTAGTATTGGCTATTTTGCATTAGTCCACGTGGACTGCGTTTACACATTAGTGGTGAAATGCGTCATTGTGTTCTTATCGTTTTCCTGGAAATAGGCTAAGAGAATTCATTGGCATTTTTAACAAAACAGTCGTTTTAAATGGGTTACAAAACAATAATTGCGTCGTACAAAACAATAATTGTATTTCTTTTGTGTGCACATATGTAGATAATACTTACTTAAAAAAGGTTCATACATTGAATGAGTCATAAATGTATATTTACAATAGCGATAGTCTTTTGTATTTTTACCAACTTGTCTATATATGAATGTTCTTAGTAATAACAAAATAGTTATTAAGTGTGGGAGAGGTATTAAGTGTGGGAGAGCCATGCTTCGGCACGAATGGGTCGGCTCGACCGGAGTGATACCACGGCCTCACAGAAAACCGGCGTGAAATAACCTCTGCGTTGTGTTTCGCCGTGTGAGTGAGGTTACCGGAGGCCCAATCCTTCTCCTTTCCCAATCCCACCTCAATCCCTAAATCTCCAAATCCTTATCCCTAAAAGGTCGGCAACGCACTGGTAACTCCTCCGTTGCGAGTGTCCATGGGCGGCGCTGATTGCTTACCATCAGGTAATCCGTCTGCTCGTTTGCCGAGCTATTACATAAAAAAAAAAAGTATTCTTCATTTAATGGGTTACAATTGATACAAAACAATAATTGCATCGGTCTTTTTTCTATGTACGAATGTATTTAATCATAGATACTAAATTAGATTGCATTTGGTATCTTTGAACTTTATCTGTCTGTTGATGAAAATATCTAGTTTTTTGTTATTTGGCGAGAACTTATATGAATTTATGATAAGATTATTATTTTATTTTAACTATAAGTCATAAGTATCTCATGCATCATATCATCTCTCCTCGAGATCAAAACGATTACACAGTAACAATGTACTATGATATGTATTTCTACGTATAAGTATGACATTGGTAACTTTTTCAAAAGAAATGTAGGAACGATATTGACTTCTTTGCCATAACACATTATAATAAAAAAAAACACTAAACGGCTACAAATAAAAAAAAAATTTACAAAATAAAAAAACCGCCTTCAAAAAAAGTCAAGCAATAAAAGTTCCTACACTAAAAAGTAAAAAATAACAATTTGAATTACTGTAAAAAAACTTAATTTATAGGTAAACTTATTTGACATTAATATTTTGCAAATATTCAAAATTTATTACTTATTTTTGGAGTCGGTGCCAGCCCATGCAAGGAAATACAAATGGGCAACAATCCCTTGAAAAACTACCTCTTACTTAATTATAAAACTACTTAATACCTATTTGCATACTAAAATATAGGTATATTAATTAAGACATAAATACAGATTAGACTTCTCTACAAAAAATGTCCGATTTACACATTTTTTTTAAATAAAAAATATATACTTACAAAAACATTTTAAGTACATTGAAAATGTTTAAGCATTATTTACGAAAAATGGCACCGGATATTAAAAAGCTAACTAACATTAAGTTTCAACATAAAATGCTGGCACCGACTCCAAAAATAAGTAATAAATTTTGAATATTTGCAAAATATTAATGTCAAATAAGTTTACCTATAAATTAAGTTTTTTTACAGTAATTCAAATTGTTATTTTTTACTTTTTAGTGTAGGAACTTTTATTGCTTGACTTTTTTTGAAGGCGGTTTTTTTATTTTGTAAATTTTTTTATAAATGTGAGTCATGTTGAGAACTTCACACTACATGATCAATTTTTAACCCCTGATTTCTGTTACAGTTCTTTTAAGCTGTAACTTTTATAGTGTCTATGGCAATTATTGATTCATTGACGGATTTCTGTCAGGCCGTTGTATCACTTCAGTCAAGCGGATTCATTGGTGCTGAAGCTACCTCGCTATATTATACAAGTTATTATTAAATAAAAAACAATATAAATACAGTAAGAATTTTATAAATGTTTGTAACTGCATACGACGGAAGACAGATGATCCTACTATTTAGGTATTTGCAATGTAATAACTTAGCATTAGCTACTAATATATAAATAATTATTATGTTAACATGTGAATCTTATTAACAACCTAATAAATTAAATGCTTACAAAGCTTTACTTACTGAATGTTTCATTTTAACTTACCTTGCTTAATTGAATTCTTGACTACCGCTATATTCTTCAGAATTCGATACATTATTTTATTGCGTTAAACTCGCGTTAAACTGATTCACAAATATAATTTCATTTAAGATAATCCGAATATATTAAGTAGCAAATGTAGATCAACAATTTCTATACACAGATTACTATTATAGTTTTTCAATATAGGGCAGATGCAATTTGGACCCGCTATTGTCACTTAAGTAGAGAAATTCAAATCAAGTGTCATGATCGTGCGCAAGTTAAACACTTCACGCCTTAGTATTAAATGCTTGCCCACATACATACATATATACATATATTTATATACGTACTACACGAGCATTCTAAGTTAATGTAGGACCACTTATCTAAATTCAGTTCCGGATGCTAATACTTTAATATAATTGAAGTATTCCAATTCGGAAAGGTAATCTACGGTTTCACAGTCTGGAAACTAGTTATCCTGCAATTTAAAAAAAAGTTGGAGTTTAAAATCATTATTCATAATTACCTAAGTATATCTATCCGTCCAACTGTCCAAAAATCCAATAATTAGGAATGCAAAAAAAGACTCAAACGATTATCGTCTTACTAATGTTAATACTTTGCCCGCTTGCTTGCATGCAGAATACAATGACTTTCGGGCTGTAAGATCTTTCTTTGTAAAATATGTATTTCTTGCAAATGAATAAATAAAAAATACCGCCGAGCCTTTTAATGGCTAACGCAGCGCATAGCATTTGTTTTCGGAACAAATTCGCAACTAAGAAAAGTTAAAGAAACATTAAATGTCTCTGAGTAACGTTTAATTTCTACCTGATTGTTCTATTCTCTGTCGATGCATGTCATAAAGCAGATGGCACACTAAACACCCTTCTTGCGTAACCACTTGTTAGCCAATCCGACGGCCATTACCGGTCCGTATTAGCCAATTAGACGTGACTACGGCGCATCACGGTTACTGCAACTACACTGTGTGTCATACATTACATATTGATGTACTTTTTATTGTGTTTTAATATGAGTGGACTGATTTCTTTTTGACTAACCCTTTACTAAAGTAAATTTATTTTCTTGTGTAATGAATGTTGGTATGAGATGTATTAAGGAGGTCCTTAAGCTCGCAAACTTTTTAGTGGATATATCAGATTAATTTAACAAGCCTGACATTTCGTCTATTTCGTGTAACATAACACAATTCTTAAGTCATGGCTTCTACTACTTAGAATTGATGTCTTAAGTCTACAATGTTAATCTGGTCCTTTTTCCCCAGCTATCAAACAAGAGCGTCCTTTGATCCGCGGCGCAGGACCACACCCGGCTTTACGCGAAAGAGGACGGGCGATACCTCCCGGTGTTCCTTCGTCTCCTACGAAGAGTTCCGTGGCCATGCCTCCCCACGTCAGGGTACGATCCTCACCACTAGCCGTGTATTATGATTTGGATATCAAGGTCAGTTGAGGAGGGAGAGTGCTTGTGAGGCTTCGCAAGGTAGGTGGGTAGTTCCTGGTGATTGTTGCTGGACCAAATGATTTAAATTGAACTATGGGACACCATTTATTAAAACTCACGTCTAGATGTTGATGCATCTTCTTTAGAAGCAATAGGGCATTTGGTTTATGATTGCATAATGCATAAGTAAAAGTACAAACACGTGTTGGTTTCACGTTTCTGTTATGACTTACACAAAAATGATCTGTTATCGACCATAGTACTGACAGAATAATGACTACTGTTTTCCTGTACGAATTGGGTGGTACGGGTCTCATTGAAATCAAATTTAAATCAGTTCGTTTTATAGATTTTAAAGTTGTTCTATATTTAAAAGTTTATGTATTTTGGAACGGCAACACCCAAAATCATCGGGAACTACTTATATGTACTAATACTATAGAGCGGCTTCGCCTGTGGTCTGCAGTTCTAATATCGGTAAGTATGCATAAAAGCGCTATAACAATATGTAAGCTTTCTAAAGCTTCATAGAACTGCTATATTTAAATGATTATGTAAATAATTGGTGAGATATAAGAATATAGGACTTAAGGTAGTTGTTAAGAGTATGGTATAAGTTATGGTATAATATTTTGGCATTTTTATGATGCATCAAATATATAGCCCCCTACAACGGTACTTTTTTTGGAGAGAGGATAATGATCAATGACTTCTCCTGCCCTCATTAGGACGGAATGGAATATCGGACTTTTAGCGGCTAAAAAACCCCGTAACGCTGTTGAAATTCAGATTATAGGCTACCTAAATAAGCAGCTTCTGTACGAATATATATTATTATTCTACCCTGGATGCAAATAATAGTGTTTATTTAGCAGCATAATTTATATTCCGAAATACAGAGGACTAATTAATCCCGTTTAATTCAGATATTTCGTAATGAAGGTGCAAACAAACGCAATATTAGAGTAAACAAGATTAAACGTTTATTGTCTTAGTATAAACATTAGTTTGTGTTGTAACCACCAGTTTTGTTTTATGTTTGGTGTAAGTTTTGAGTGTGTAGACACTTCCAATTTGGACCTTCTCGAGAGATAGAATAATACTTTTCTGGAAATAATTGATTGGTCAGCAAATACAGCTTGGTACCAAAACCGCATTACCTATGAATTTTGTTAAAAAGAGTATTTATTACTCGGGGGAAAATGAAGGAGTACCTAACGAGACAGGCGTCCTCTCTCGTTATCAGGCCAAAATTTTAAAGACTACTCCTTATATATCGTAAATTGATGCTTATGAATAATTAGAAAAAATATAGCACAACTTTTCAAATAACTATTTATAATTGTTGATATCAATGCCTATATTTTCGTTACCCGCCAATCGTTTGTTAATTAGTCTGCTGAGTGCGGATAGAAAGACCGCAAGTAAACTCACATGTATGATGTCATCGTCATTATTTTTAGTGCTTATGGCTTCTGCCGCACATGTCGGCCACACCATAGTCTATCGAATATTCTTAGTCTAATTAAAATGATGATTAAGCTATAGCAAGAACAGCCACTAAAATAGAGATGCGTGGGAAATTATATTATAGTAGAATGCAAAATGCTTTAACTTCATTAGACCTCAATCTTATAGAATTCAAGATAATGTTTGCTACGTGTTTTTCTCTTTGATAAACGGAGGTGGTATAGAATTCTTAATTTTATTAGATAATTTAAAGTCATGTGATGACTAAGTCATAAAGAGCAAATATCAACAAAAGGCACTTTTACCATTTTTGCCGAATTTGACAGTTCATTTAGGATACAAGAAAACAATACCCTCTTCGTCTAATACTTAAATACACTGCTTCCGAACACCTCTGAAAAGAACTTTGAAAGGATTAAAATCCAATTAGTTTCATTGGACTTCGAACAGCTTCTGTTGAAGAGGAAACAATGGCATGACACAATTAACCAGCATTTGGCACCATGTCAAACTGATGAAATACGAGCACCCGTTAATATCAGGCCTAGTTATAATCCCATTATTAATTATACTATTATAAATTTAGTATTGACATATTGATTAAAAGGTTATTGGTTCAAAACTAAAATTCAATCAGAGAGACAGTTATATTTAGCTTATGGAGTCTTCGGAAAGAACAAGAATTGAAAAAGAATAAATAGTCTTTTCTTGTCGACAACGACACGAATACCTATTAACTGGCAGATAAAATAGAAAATCCAAAAATACCGCATTTCGAAAAATCTAGAAATAGAACTTGTGCTTTCTATGCATACTTGATATAACGAGCTTTCAAACAATTTTACACACACACACACACACACACACACAGCTTAAATTTATTCTAAAGTGCTTCGAGAAAAGACCTAAATTTCAGAATATAAGATATGCATCAAAAGACCTTTCAATCATCATAATATTCCTGAACAGACAGGATTCAAATAATTAATAGTAGAACGGAACTAAATCTCCGTTAAAATCTATGCTCGTTGCCAACTCGGCAAAGAGTGCTATGTGTCCCGGAATGTCAATGCGAGCCAGTCAAGGTCGGTTGCGTCAACGTCAGATCTTCAAACTGCAGGGACAGGGACGCTTGATGTTTGTCATCTGTTCAATTTGGTTCGGTATAAAGTGGTTTCGAAGCTTATAAAGGGTCTTTAACGCTGAGCGGTTTTTGCATTGAAAGACGTTTTGAAAACTTTCAAGTTAAATTTTGGTCTTTATTATCTTGGCTTTTCATGGTCATGACATTACGTGGCGTGTAATGAATTTATTGAATGTAAACACTAATGTTGAGTAAGTATTGAGTAATCCTATGGTCACACATTTTTATTAATCTATCCGAATATCTTGTTACTGCTATAAATCCCGTTTATTCTAAATTGTACTGAAAAATAATTATGAATCGACAGAAGGGGATATTAAAATAGCATATACCAATATTAACCAGTAAAATATCAAGTTTAAATGAATATGGAAGGTAATGCGCCTTTAATATTAAAGTAATTGAAATCGGATCGGATCGAAGCTTCCAATATTCGTGCAATAATTTTAATGGATGAGCACACGGTTCTGGAAAATTCGCTGAGGCAATTTGGAACGGCCTAGTTTAATAGTATTCTGCAGTATTATGTTCGTTCTTATCTATAGCATCTCGCTTTCGGATAAAGATAGCACGAAAGAAAAGAATTTTCATTAGTTGATTCATCATTTTCATCTTCTCCACGTTTTTCCATTTTTAGTTGGTTAGTTATTTTCAACAGTCGTTGCCATAACTACTCATCTTTTAAATGCCTATAAGGTTGACTGAGGTAACCGTAACTACTTGCACGTTTCATAGATATTTTAAACCGTTTTTGACTATATATAATTACAATCTAATCATTCCGTTAATGATCATTATATCAACACGGCATATACAGGCATAGCCACTCGATTTTACACATTTTTAAAAACCTGGTTTCGTTAAATATAAAATTTCTTTACGAATCTTCCACTGCACACTTTATTTGGTACACGACGCTAAAACAATTAACACTGAACCGTCAAGGAATACAATTACCCTTGAAACTGGGCTAGTTTATTTACCATTTACAACTATTCCGTCAAAGAGGCCAATAGACAGTTATCTTCAAGTCAGAATTCTAAATAATGCCTTTGAAAAATCAACATTTGCATGATAGTGAGGCGAGAATTTCAGTTTTTTTTTTGTTTTCTGTTTTAAATAAGAGGCTTTATGTACGAGTGGACGTTTGTTGATGAGTTAATTATGATAAACAATTTACGTCAATGACTGGCCTGTGTGGAACAAAATGTTAGTTGATGTGGATGCGGTTCGGTTTCTATGTGTATTTGACTATTTTAGTCCATTCGTCTATAATATTATTTTCATCTATGTAGTTGGCTGAATAGGTATGATCAATCTATGAAGTTTATAATTGATAGATTGTGTTAGAATTTTGAGTGCTGGATGTATTAGTTGATTTATTACAAGTGTCAACAATTTGGTCGAAATAAGTTGGTCCTTCAGCCCAAAAATTAATTCTTCTTATTTAATATTGAGAAATTGTAATACTGCGAATGTATAGAATGACGTCTATATTTATCGAAGCTCATTATACCTGAATCGTATACGAAACGTATATACGTAAACGAAGAGGCTCTCATTATTAGTTCGAGGCAGTGTTCAAGTGGCTCTTTCGCTTGTTCTTAGAACTAGGCAGATAAATAAACAAATGTGCGGCTGGCATTGGTCGATGCGACCCACATGCGTGGCCTAGACACAGTGCGCAGAAATAACCCGCAGTGACACTCCCGCGCATCGCGCATCGTCCGCGACGCCCGCGACCGTCGCTACAGTAATCTAATGATTTATGGACTTTCTTTTTAGCTACTGACCATTTTATTGTACCAGAATAGGCGTGCATGTGTAAATGGAAATCTGATAAGATAGAGAAATATGGACTTCATCACCTTTCCTAACACTTGGTAGCTTTAATAGGACCAAAAAGTCTTTTGATTGTAGTGCAGATGTTTTTCATTTCACAGTATACAGTCTAATTTACAATTTTTATTTAAATGAAAAGTCCTCGTTTCCCAATTAGAATACATACAACATCAAATTGACATGCTTTTGATGTCAATTTTATGTTTAAAAAATGGTCCTTCGCTACGAACAAATTCGTCTTGGAAGACTAAAAAGCTATCATAATTGCGTGTGTAAGTAGTAGAAGGCCTTAACATATAAAGGTAGCTTGCCCATAGTGATACCGCAGTGGGACATCAAACAATTTGTCAATATTAGGCTCGGCCCGTAAGACAATAATCTCGTTTAGAGGCCGCCTACACTAGCCAAGTACTAACATTGCTCATAGATTAAAACTACAGATACGAAAAATTGTACGACATAATTTTTACCTTTTTAAACTTTGGAAGTGCAATACGGTTATTGCCACATGTTCGTGTGTATTTTAATCGTAGCAAAAAATAAT